CGATAACGGGGCCTTTTTTCTTCCCTTTTGACAATGGCAGAGATGAAGGGTGAGGGTGCGGGGGAGGGAGGAGAATGCCATGTTAGAAAGGAGGAGAGAGAGAAATACTCCCATTGCACTGGAACCTCATGGAGAGCAGATACTGAGGGTCACCTCTGCCATTAGACTGAGCATCCAGAAGGAGAAAGAACACACTAGTGACAATCCATCCTTTCATAGCCTCAGCTTCAAGATACCCCCACCCCACTCACATACATTACTGGACCATCAATCTCATTATCCATAACCAGTCATGCTCAGAACACATTCCCAGCCCATTCATTATTTACCCGTTAGCAATTCAAATGCTCCAGCCGGATGCTTAAAAGAAAAGAAAAATAAATAAATAAAAGAGCCACCTAGATTTGCATTCAGGCTGCCCGAGTTCCAGCAGAGCTGGAGGAAGAAGAGCTAGCATTTTCCATGCGTCTGCTGTCAAAAGGAAAAACAAGTTCAGAGCAATAGTACAGGTACATTAGCATAAAGGGGCAGAAAGAGAATGACTAATAGGAAGAAGCTGAACACTCACTTGTGCTGCCTTATCTGCTGTATTGAAAATCTCTTGGCTGGGTCATATTCAAGCATCCCTGAAAAAGGAGGAAAAAAAATCCAGGTGTGATTCACAGGCACTCAACCAAGGTGGGGCCAGGAAGCGCCACGCCCTTCCCAGCCCCAGCCCCTCCATTACAGGAGACCCTCCGGCAGTAAGGCCTCCCTGAGTTCCTCAACTCTAAATAAGCAGCTTGGATCAACCAAGTCAGAAAATTTAGGGTCAAACACCCCAGCTCTGCCACTAACTGGTGGAAAGACTCACACAAGCCTGTTCCTCAGGTCTCCCCAACTGCTGGGTTGGGGAGATAAGTCTTTCCTTCTTTCACACCATCAACCAGCACTGGCTCATAAACCCAAACACTCACCCCCATATCCCCAGCCAAAACACCAGGAGACATCTCATTTCACAGAGAATAATATTCAGCCCATACCCCAGGGAGGCACAGCTTTTTCTGTGGTATATACACATTGGCACAGCACACCAGGAGCTGCAATCTAGGCACAGGTTTCCTTCCCTGAAGTGCATCTAGGGCAGAGTTATATATAATGGCAGGCTGTTGAACACAGCCCTGTTCTCTTAGCCGGAACGCCTGCATTCACTTGTCAGCTACTGAAATATTGAGGCTTGAGGGGGAAGGGGTGTGTGGGTGTGGGGTGCTTACACCACTATTTTTTGCTTAGACTATCTAGCAGGGAAGGGAATGGATCTCCCAAAGACAGAACCCCACGCCCTTATCCTCTGAAGACTAAACTACAAATTCCATCTCTCATTCTTAGGAAAGTACCATTGCACAACAGAAGGAGAAACAGTGAGTTGATGTAAAGCTGGTTGAAGAGGAACTAATGAATTCACTGTTTCAGCACCTACATCAGCAGCCTGCAAGATAAAGGCACTCCCCAAGAAACCTCGCAGAAATGACAGATCTGCTGAACACCAGTGTGCTTGGTGCTGTACAGAGATTGGGACATAAGAAGATTACACTCAACCCCAAGATGCTCAAATCAGCATTTTAGGCACCCAATAGAGATGCAGCTGGTGCTACCCCGGGGCTTTTAGGGGGTGAAGGATTCTAAGCAGGTTTGTAAAAGTCCAAACAGCAGAGGCTAGAACTGATGAGCCTTGCAGTAGTGCATAGAGGAGGTAGGACTGGAGAGGGCATTGAATTCAAGCACTAAGAGGATGAGAGGGAGAAGAGAAGGGGGTAGGAGAACAGAGCAGAAGGGGTAAGGAGGGAATCTGCAGTAATATCAGATCACAACGTCCAAGAATCAAGACTAGGAGGAACTGGATGCAGAATTCAAACAGGAATCAGTAGAGGGATAAAATAAGGGGAGAGGAAACAGTTGTGGCAAGTGCCTTTTGGAAGGAAAAGAAAAGGCAAGAAAAAGGTTGCCACAGCTGAGAAAGTGATCAGTATGATCCTCAGGATGAGAAAATCCTCAGTATGATTGGAAGCACTGATTGTCTTCTCTCAAAAGTCCAAGGGAAAGAAATGTGAGCAGAGAATGAGAAGATCCAGAATGATGTATTATTATAGGCCTGGTTATCAGGAGGATATCAGCAGTCATGGGCATGGGACCTGTAATGGTCTTCCCTTTCCTCATTATTAAGGCTTTGCAGGTAAAACTGCAGGAATGGTTGTTTACAATTATAGGGGTATCGGTTATATTTGTGTTGGTCTAAGCACGTAGGCAGGCAAGGTTCTTTGGGTAAATCTGATCTCTTTTATTAAACCAACTCATAGTTGGAAAAGTTGGAGTTGGTTTAATAAAAGATATTAGATTTACCCAAAGAACTTTGTCTGCCTTTACAATTATAGCCTTTCAGAGCCACAAGAAGGGAGCCAGCAAGAGTCTTGGCAATTGCAACACAGCCTCTGAAGAGGTCCAAGCTCTCAGCTCAACAGCACTGTGGATAGCTCTCAGCAGAAAGCCAGAAGCTGTCAAGCAGCACCAGGACGGTGACGAGTAAGGGTTGAGAGCAGAGACAATTGAGGGAGCAGAGTAGCAGTGGGCTGAGAGCACCACTGAATGCAGGGCGGCCAGCCTGGAGCCCCCAGTCAGTGCTATGGTGGGGGAGTGGTAAAGGATATTTCAGGTACAATACACAGCACGTGAGACTGGTGCGGCACTGTGGATAGGACATGAGTGTGGCCAACTGCTACAGTCCAGGTGAAGAACAGGGAACCAGCCTACAGGACTGCTGTGTCCAGAGGGACACAATAGCCTTCAGCTGTCACATCCTTCACACACATGAAGCAACCCAGCACACATCTGCTGCAAAAAATCCCTTGCAAAAGAGATTTTCCAGCTACTTTAAGCCACAGAAAGCCTGACCAGGGAAGAGACGTTAAGGGATAAAGAACTCTGGCTCAGAACAGAGTCTGAAAGGCATCGACACCCTAGCAGCTCCTGCCAGCCCTACAAGTGCTAGCTTCTCAGTTCTCCAGAAGTGGGCAAGATGCATAGTGAAAACCTACTCTACTGCCTCCCAGTCAGCTAACAGGATTTTAAACAATGTACTGATGGGTGGCCAATCCCATTACAGTTTTTGCTATGCCCAGGAAGGGCTCTCTGATCAAAAAGAGCACTGTACACAGAGAACAGGCAAAGGGTGGGTGGGCGGATGGGGGAACCTGGAATTACTTTCCCTTTGGAAATTGCAAGGTAGCTTGCTTACCAAGGTGATTTAAAAAGGCCCGGTGAGGCTGACAACAATGCTCTGCTAATGGTAAAGACAACGTGGGATGTCAGAGCCACTCTGCATTGTTAACAAGAGCTCGCTCCAAGAAGTTGAGGGAACCCCTGCAGCTAAAAGGTGCCTCAGTACCCGCTGCCAATATCTGCATGCGCAAATCAAAGCAGCCAATGCCATGAAGGCTCAAGGGTTAAGACAAAGCAAACCAGGATTTTACGTTGGTTCTCCTGAGACTAGAAAGCCACAATTAACCTGTGGCTCCCCTACAGTCACTAGGACTAACTACAGCTGGGAATGCCCTTGCCACCATTAAAGAGAGACCTCAAAGGTCAGTTCCTGCTGGACAGGGGCACGTGCAAGAGGCTGGATGGAGTTGCTGGGAATATATTTCTCTGTCACCACAGGCTGACTCCATGCGTGCACATGCCCTAAAATCCACCTCCAAAGCACCGCCTCATGGCAAAGGACTCTTGCCCCCTTCACTGAGGCATGAAGTTCCCAGTGACACAATCATTCCTGCCCCAGAAGAGAACAGTGATAGGTCTCTCCCCTGCTCAGAAACAATTAACACGGTTGTCATGCTGCTCCAAGAACCCACAGGTTTGTTCCAGTCTTGATGTGCACCCCTCCTACCCTGACCAGAGGCTTAATAGTCAGGTTTTGCTTTCCCCATAACCAATTAAAAGCTCCTTTGGGGTCTGAGCCAGTGGCATATGCTTGTTTCCTGTGGGTGAACGAATGGCTTTTAACCAAGCCATCAGAGTCTACATGTGCAAAAGGAGGTGGACAGAATTTAGGGGCCCAGAGCGATGAATCCTGAGTGAAGACAGGTGCCCAAGCCCCAAAGAAGAGCGAGATTTAAGACACGGCCTTGGCTTCAGCTCTGCCTCCTGGGGTCTGTGCTGGCTGTTGAGATGCACGACTCTTCCCATGCGTTATATGTGAAGCCAGAACATCTACTGCAGGGCTGTGGGCTCCACTGTGGGCCAGGCTCCTAGAACATAAACACTGCAATACTGAACATCACAATGCTCAAGGCCCTTTGAGGATCTAGCCCACAGCCAGTTACTGCATCTTAGTCATTGCTATTCCAGGAAGCAATGAAGCTGGCAAACTGCTTTCCCCAATGGATGCCATGACACAGGGAAGGCTCAGCTACAACCAAATATTTTATCAGACTGATACTGAATGCAGCCTTTAGGGGATTTTCTTCACCCCTGGGTTGCTTCCAGTGGGTATTTTCTCTTCTGTATTCCAACATGTGTACGTCAGAGCCCAGCAGCCTCCTCCCTCCCTATTTATCTTGCAGAAGAAATAATTGGAAGACGGGATGAGAAAGAGGTTCAAAGGAAAAAAAAATCCCACACCTAATTAAATATCCTATTAGTAAGATTATTAGACAGTCACTTCACAGCTGAGCTGCTCAAGCTGTTTTATTTTTAAAGAGACAGTACTGGAGCGGTGGGAGATGATTTTACGTGAGGTCAATAGACATGGAAAGCTGATGCTGGTTGGGTTATTTTTAATGTTGTCAGAAATGAATAAATCAGGCAAGTCTCCCTCTAAAAATCAGAGGCTTTAAAAAAAATCCCACTTCAGGAGGATGTCTCTGAAGCGTAGCCTGTCATCAATTCTAGCTGAATTTTCTGCCAACTGAAGCACACAAAACTGCACAGGCCAGCTCATCTTGACTTTCCTAAACATGGCAGGTTTGTCTCAAAGCTGCTGCATTTTTTCAGAGCGTCTCCATCTGGAATATTTTGTTGGGGTGTTGCACAGGAGTTAAGGTACATTCCTCACTTGGTTGCTCTGACCCTCTCAGTTGAGGCTTACGCATCAAAATGCAGCTTAAGAAATGGCAGTGCTTGCAAAGAAATTTACAGCAACTACTAGATAGAGCAGGCAGAGGAAGAGAATTGAGGTAACAAAGAAGGAAGTGTTTAAGGGAGGTTATAAAAATGGGAATAACAGCACTGATTAGTAGTGACTATGGCGCAATGGAGACATGCATTGTTCTCAGACAAGGTACAGCAATTAAAGAAGCAATGAAGATAGCTAGAGCCAAAAAAGTCTTCAGTTTAAATGCAAAGAACTGTTTTTGGGCAATTCTTGAAAGAATTAAGAAAATGTAATCGGTGTAAATATAAGTCCATGGATTCAATGGGATGAGTCACTTACAGCAGTTCTGTGGCTAGAGCCCTGTATTGAAAGAGAGACTTCATAAAGACAAAAACATCATGTACTATTCACCCATCAAATCATCTAAGAGTGTCTGCCCACAATAACCACACATTCTCTACCATTTACGGTAAAGATTTCTATGCAGTTTATTTGGGA